AACACTAATATATGCATAGCAAACAACTAAATAAAAATAAAATGATAATGCAAATAATAAATAAAACAAGTAAAAGAATATAAAACATAAAATATAGGATAAATATAAAAATAGATAAATAAATGAGAAAATATATAAAAAAGTAAAAGCATATATATATAAGTAAAATAATAATAATAAAAAAAAGAAAATCAAAAGTAATATACGTATATACATGCAAAATAGGAATATATATATATATATATATATATAATACACTAATAAAAAAACATATATACATATATAATAAAATTAATAGAAAGTAATATGCATATATAAGAATAATAGAGTAGGAAAAAATGATTTAGGGGGAGAATTAAATATTTTAAAAAAATGAACACGCCTCGGGGGTGGATTTAGGTTCGAAACTTCGAAATCCCACCCCTTTTTAGTCATCGGCGCAACCCACGTTTTGGGTTATTCGAACCAAATCTCAAGAAAAATAACGTGCACATGCGAGAAATGAACGAACCAATGTAAAAAAAGATGTTACCTTTTATTTCCTTTTCGAATCGTTTACAACAACTTTGCCTTTGTATTTTCCGTGCTTTCCTCTGTGTTTTGTGTGTAAATCGTGTGTTACAATGGTGAGTTACAATGGCTATTTATAGTGCTTGTGGATCCTATCTTTAGGAATTTAAATATAGTAGAACTCTATCCTATTTTTTGAATCCTAGCAAAATTCTATCCTATCTTTAGGAGTTTGAATTCTAGTAGGACGAAAAGGTGTGTTGACAGAATCAAAATTGTTGTTGAAGTTGTTGAACCACAAGCTTCTTTCCAAGCATCCAACAATGGCTAAAACAAAATAGAATAATAAAGAAATTATACATGTTTTCACCATTAGAGTATTAAAGTGAGCTATAATTTCGCTTACCTTACTCAAATCTGTATTCAAGTCAACCTTTGCGCCAAACTTAGCTACGACATCAAGAGCAGCTGCTTGAGCTTGCATGGCTGCAAGGAATAAATTTAATATTATAGACACTGTACAAACAACAATAAAATTTATTGCCATATCTTTAATTTTATTTTCGCTTGAAGGTAGAATGATTTTTCCTTTTGTTTACTTTCAAATATATAGAGATGTTTGGGCAACTACAACCAACAAATTTTAACCAAACCTTTTCAAATTTAACCAACGTGTGCAATATGGCTAGACTTACTTTCTATGATTAGCTTGTGTTTTTATACACCTGGCTCGGCTGGATAAAGTTTAGTTAGTTGTTCAAAAACTTGAATCATGCAAATTAAGTAAAAGTATTTTTATCAATGTTACTTAAAAAGTGTTTTGGGACTAGATCGAGACACGATCCAATACAACAGTAAACATGCATAATGTTTAGCTTCTAAAAAACTTTAATTGACATTTTCCTAATAATTGTTTAGTATTCATATAACTAATTTCTAATTCTAAATATCTCGTACTCAAAAAACTTTGAAACTCAATCATCTACAAAAGAACGTGAAAATAATTCACACCTGTTGCTTTAAATTTTCAATCGACTTAGAGATTGTGTTAATCAAAATGTTCAAACTTGATTACATGGAATTGATATTACACAGGGACGGGGAAGTAAACTTAATACGTCAACTGCACATTCCAATTGAAACAATTACCTAATTTCCTAAAAGTAAAAGTAGAATGACTAAATCTAAAATGTACGAAGGAGCAAAGAAATTACAACATTGAAGCTTTTCCATAATAAATATACTATAATTGATTATACATTTTTAAGGCAGCGGCGTCATCAATTTACAAATCTGTAAAAGAAACAAAACATCTCGACACATTTATCTATTATTTATGATAAGACATTCAAATACAATTTTATAAAATAATACATTTAAAGCCCCAAAAATTGAATACTATAAAATTCTTTGAAACTAAACGAAGAAAAGATGTCAAAATACAACTAATTTCATTAGAAGTTAAAACGTGGTAAACAAGAACCGATATTTAAAAAATATTTTATTCAGAATTAGATAATATTCGAAATATAAGATTTAGATTTTAAGAAAATTAAATATTAAAAATGGAATTAATAGTGACATTTAATTAAAAATGAATAGTTGAGTTGACAAATTTTAATGTACTCGAACCATAATTTTTTTTATTGGCATACGTGAAATAAAAATAAATAGCATGTACATGCACATGCGAACATAATGCCAATACAAATAAGTCAAAATGCTTAAATGTTACCACATACTTTTGTTCTTTTGGATTAAATTATATATATATATATATATATATATATTTAAAATGAATAATATAGAAGTTTCTGAAACTTGGGATTAAAATGAAATGGATGCGTTATATAAAATGAAAAGGTACATGAGTTACATTCAGATTGTTTTAAACGTAAAGTCAATTTCGACGAGTTCTACATTTTCGCATGGAAAAACACCACTGCAAACGAGTTTGACAACTTCTAAATGCGCAGCCGTACCATGAATGTTCTTGAAGCTAATATTGCTTAGTTTAACATTCGATTCAGCCTGCAAGATTAAAGTACTTGTCAGATTATTGATTAACTCTTTTCATTATATTGGGTTATTTACAAGTATGTACATACATCCATTTTTCTTTTATTCCATGGGCAGTATTTCTGGTCAATCAGGACAAGACAACTAACATTCTTCACGGTGATATCCTCAAAATGCATATCTGATGCTGTGCCAGGAAATTCACCTTCAATAGGTTATTCGTTTGCAAACTTTCCAAGAATTTTTGATATCCAGATTTTTGGCGCCATCCCCAATTAAAATACAATCATCACCAGTTTTGATATCCGTGTCTATAATTTTAACCCCATCTGATCTCCCGATGTGAATCCCATCTGGGTTTGGGCTATCTTTAGGTGCGGATACAGTTACATGTTCGAAAGTAATGTTTTGCATCCCAAACATTAGAGGGGAACTGTTTGCTATCTGAGAGTTACCTTGTACCATTGCATTGGTCAAAAAATCAAACCTTACATTTTGTTTAATTTCGGAGTTAAAAGAGCCACGAGAAAAAAATATGTATTAGTTATAAGTACTAAGAAAAATATCAAATTCTTGCGAAAGGTAAGAAACCTTACGATGGGTAGGTTACTACATAAGTCGTGTTTTTAGCAACCTTCTCTCTTATAAGAACTGGTTCCTTGTCCATCGAAAGCTCCTCCACCGAAAAATTTGAAGTTTTCAATATGAAGGAAGCTAACCCCTTTAGGCTCCTTGAAAGCTTTAGGATCAGCTGGTGCTTTTACATTGCCCTCAAGTTGAAGCTCAATAGGAGCCTTGCAAAGACCTTTTTCAAATTTAACCAACGCGTGCAAATCGTATGGCTAGACTTTACTTTATATGATTAGCTTGTGTTTTTATATACACCTGGCTCGGCTGGATAAAGTTTTGGTTAGTTTGTTCAAAAACTTGATTCATGCAAATTAAGTAAAAGTATTTTTATCAATGTTACTTAAAAAGTGTTTTGGGACTAGATCGAGACACGATCCAATACAACAGTAAACATGCATATTGTTTAGCTTCTAAAAAACTTTACTTGACATTTTCCTAATACATAATTGTTTAGTATTCATATAACTAATTTCTAATTCTAAAGTATATCTAGTACTCATAAAAACTTTGAAACTCAATCATCTACAAAAGAACGTGAAAAATAATTCACACAACTGTTTGATTTAAAATTTTCAATCGACTTAGAGATTGTGTTAAATCAAAATGTTGAAACTTGATTACATGGAATTGATATTAGCACAGGGACGGGGAAGTAAACTTTAATACGTCAAACTGCACATTCCAATTGGAACAATTACCTATTTCCTAAAAGTAAAAGATTGACTAAATTAAAATGTACGAAGGAGCAAAAGAAATTACAATATTGAAAGCTTTCCATAATAAATATACTACATAATTGATTTACGTTTTTAAGGCAGCGACGTCATCAATTCTACAAATCTGTAAAAGAAACAAAACATCGACACATATCTACTTATTTTATGATAAGACATTTCAAATACAACTTTTATAAAATAATATTTTTTAAATGCCCCAAAATGAATACTAAAATTCTTTGAAACTAAATGAAGAATAGATGTCAAAATACAACTAATTTCATTAGAAGTAAAAAGTTGGTAAACAAGAATGATTTTAAAAAATATATTTTATTTATATTCGAAATATAAGATTTAGTTTTAAAAAAAATTAAATATTAAAAAATGGAATTAATAGTTTGACATTTAATTTAAAAATGAATAGTCGAGTTGACAAATTTTAATGTACTCAAACCATAATTTTGTTTTATTGGCAAGCTTGTGTAAAGTAAACCAAACTCTAATCTCAATACTCGAAACTATATTTTTCAGTTTTTGGAAGTTAATCTTTAAAATAATTTAATAAATTTTCAAGAAAAATTATTCTCTTACTCACAACCGAAGTAAGCGTTAGAGTAAGACATCTTTTATACAATAATATTTTATTGGAAGTTTGAAACAGATCTAATAAAAAGTTTGATTAAGTAAACCTTGGTATGAATGACACCTTGTGTTTTTTTTAATGTAGCTTTGATGACAATTTCTTAATCTGTTTACATGAAATAAAAATAAATAGCGTGTACATGCACATGCGATGCACATAAAGCCAATACAAATAAGTCAAAATACTTAAAATGTAACCACATACGTTTTGTTTCTTTTTCGATTAAATTAAATATATATATATATATATATATATATATATTTAAAAATGAATATAATATAAAGTTTCTGAATCACTTGTGTACATGTGTTACATTCACTTTGTTTTTCCCTCTTCTTATTGTCAGCCAATATTTAAACCGTAAGGGTAGGGATTGTTGGTACGGGGGTAGAACATGCAACCGGATTTTGTTTTCCAGTCACTTTTGTTTAACATTTTTACATACGGATTTTGCAGGTCCATCCGGTCCACTAAACGTAATGTCAATGTCGGTGAGTTCTAAATTTTTCGCATGGAAAAATACCACTGCAAACGAGTTTGACAACTTCTGGAAGCGCAGCCGTACCATGAATGTTCTTGAAGCTAATGTTGCTTAGTTTAACATTCGATTCAGCCTGCAAGATCAAAGTACTTGTCAGATTATTGATTAACTCTTTTCATTATATTGGGTTCTTTACAACTATGTGCATACATCAATTTTGCATTTATTCCATGGGCAGTATTTCTGGTCAATCAAGACTGGACAACTAACATTCTTCACGGTGATATCCTCAAAATGCATATCTGATGCTGTGCCAGGAAATTCACCTGCCCAAGTCTTGATTCTAATACCATTCGAAGTATCAATCAAGGTACACTTCGACACTTTAATTCCTTCAATAGGTTCTTCGTTTGCAAACTTTCCAAGTATGAAGGAAGCTAACCCATTTAGGCTCCTTGAAAGCTTTTAGGATCAGCGTGCTTTTACATTGCCCTCAAGTTTGAAGCTCAATAGGAGCCTTGCAAGGACCTTCCACGTTGCTTGACTTAACAATATGTCCCTTCAGGAATCAAAATTGTTGTTGGAGTTGTTGAACCAAGCTTCTTTCCAAGCATACAATGGCTAAACAAATAGATTAATAAAGAAATTATACATGTTTCACCGTTAGAGTATTAAAGTGAGTTGTAATTTCGCTTACCTTACTCAAATTTATTCAAGTCAGCCTTTGCGCCAAACTTAGCTACACGTCAAGACCAACTGCTTGAGCTTGCATGGCTGCAAGGAATAAATTTAATATTATAGACACTGTACAAACAAATAAATTTATTGCCATATCTTTAATTTTATTTTCACTTGAAGGTAGAATGGTGTTTCCTTTTTTACTTTCAAATATATAGAGTTTGGGCAAACTACAACCAACCAAAATTTTCAACCAAACCTTTTTCAATTTAACCAAGTGCAAATCGTATGGCTAGACTTTACTTTCTATGATTAGCTTGTGTTTTTATATACACCTGGCTCGGCTGGATAATTTTTGGTTAGTTTGTTCAAAAACTTGAATCATGCAAATTAAGTAAAGTATTTTTATCAATGTTACTTAAAAAGTGTTTGGGACTAGATCGAACGATCCAATACAACAGTAAACATGCATAATGTTTAGCTTCTAAAAAACTTTACTTGACATTTTCCTAATACATAATTGTTTAGATTCATATAACTAATTTCTAATTCTAAAGTATATCTCGTACTCATAAAACTTTGAAACTCAATCATCTACAAAAGAACGTGAAAAATAATTCACACAGTTTGCTTTAAAATTTTCAATCGACTTAGTGATTGTGTTAAATCAAAATGTTCAAACTTGATTACATGGAATTGATATTAGCACAGGGACGGGGAAGTAAACTTTAATACGTCAAACCGCACATTCCAATTGGAACAATTACCTAATTTCCTAAAAGTAAAAGTAGATTGACTAAATTTAAATGTACGAAGGAGCAAAAGAAATTACAACATATTGAAAGCTTTTCCATAATAAATATATACTACATAATTGATTTATACTTTTTTAGGCAGCGACGTCATCAATTCTACAAATCTGTAAAAAAAAAAACATCTCGACTCATTTATCTACTTATTTATGATAAGACATTTCACATACAACTTTTAAAATAATATTTTAATAAATGCCCAAAAATGAATACTATAAAATTCTATGAAACTAAACAAGAATAGATGTCAAAATACAACTAATTCATTAGAAGTTAAAAAAGTTGGTAAACAAGAACAGATATTTTAAAAAATATATTTTATTCAAAATTAGATATATATTCGAAAATATAAGATTTAGATTTTAAGAAAATTAAATATTAAAATGGAATTAATAGTTTGACATTTAATTTAAAAATGAATATCGAGTTGACAATTTTAATGTACTCGAACCACAATTTTGTTTTATTGCATGCTCGTGTAAAGTAAACCAAACTCTATCTCAGTGCTCGAAATATATTTTTAGTTTTGGAAGTTAATCTTTAGAATAATTTAATAAATTTTCAAGAAAAATTATTCTCTTATCACACCCGAAGTAAGCGTTAGAGTAAGACGTCTTTCATACAATAATATTTTATTGGAATTTTGAAACGGATCTAATAAAAAGTTTGATTAAGTAAACCTTGTATGAATGACCTTGTGTTTTTTTATGTAGCTTTGATGACAATTGCTTAATCTGTTTACGTAAATTAAAATAAATAGTGTACAACACATCGATGCACATAATGCCAATACAAATAAGTCAAAATGCTTAAAATGTTACCACATACGTTTGTTTCTTTTTCGATTAAATTATATTATATATAGATATATATATATATATATATTTAAAAATGAATATATAAGTTTCTGAATAACTTGGGATTAAAATGAAATGGACGCGTTATATAAAATGAAAAGGTACATGAGTTACATTCACTTTGTTTTTCCCTCTTTTATTGCCAGCCATATTTAAACCGTAGGGGTAGGGTTTGCTGGTACGGGGTAGAACATGCAACCGGATTTTGTTTTCCAGTAACTTTGGTTTAACATTTTTACATTCGGATTTGCAGGTCCATCCGGTCCACTAAACGTAATGTCAATGTCGGCGTTCTATTTTCGCATGGAAAAATACCACTGCAAACGAGTTTGACAACTTCTGGAAGCGCAGCCGTACCATGAATGTTCTTGAAGCTGATGTTGCTTAGTTTAACTTCGATTCGCCTGCAAGATCAAAGTACTTGTCATTATTGATTAACTCTTCATTATATTGGTTCTTTACAAGTATGTACATACATCCATTTTGCATTTATTCCATGGGCAGTATTTCTGGTCAATCAGGACGGGACAACTAACATTCTTCACGGTGATATCCTCAAAATGCATATCTGATGCTGTGCCAGGAAATTCACCTGCCCAAGTCTTGATTCTAACACCATTCGAAGTATCAGTCAACGTACACTTCGACACTTTAATTCCCGTGATGTCTAGATTTTTGGCACCATCCCCAATTGAAATACAATCATCACCAGTTTTGATATTCGTATCTATAATTTTAACCCCATCTGATCTCCCGATGTGAATCCCATCTGTGTTTGGGCTATCTTTAGGTGCGGATACAGTGACATGTTCGAAAGTAATGTTTTTGCATCCCAAAACATTAGCGTGGAACTGTTTGCTATCTCTGAGAGTTATATACCTTGTACCATTGCATTGGTCAAAAAATCAAACCTTACATTCTGTTTAATTTCGGAGTTAAAAGAGTTACGAGAAAAAAATATGTATTAGTTATAAGTACTAAGAAAAATATCAAATTCTTGCGAAAGGTAAGAAACCTTACGATGGGGAGGTTACTACAGAAGTCGTGTTTTTCGCAACCTTCTCTCTTATAAGAAGTGGTCCCTTGTCCATCGAAAGCTCCTCCACCGAACAATTTGAAGTTTTCAATATGAAGGAAGCTAACCCATTTAGGCTCCTTGAAAGCTTTAGGATCAGCTGGTGCTTTTACATTGCCCTCAAGTTGAAGCTCAATAGGAGCCTTGCAAGGACCTTCCAGCGTTGCTTGACTTAACAAATATGTCCCTTCAGGAATCAAAATTGCTGTTGGAGTTGTTGAACCACAAGCTTCTTTCCAAGCATCCAACAATGGCAAAACAAAATAGATTAATAAAGAAATTATACATGTTTTCACCGTTAGAGTATTAAAGTGAGTTGTAATTTCACTTAGCTTACTCAAATCTGTATTCAAGTCAGCCTTTGCGCCAAACTTAGCTACGACGTCAAGAGAAGCTGCTTGAGCTTGCATGGCTGCAAGGAATAAATTTAAAATTATAGATATACTGTACAAACAATAATAAAATTTATTGCCATATCTTTAATTTTATTTTCACTTGAAGGTAGAATGGTTTTTCCTTTGTTTACTTTCAATATATAGAGATGTTTGGGCAAACTACAACCAACCAAATTTTCAACCAAACCTTTTCAAATTTAACCAACGTGTGCAAATCGTATGGCTAGACTGTACTTTCTATGATTAGCTGTGTTTTTATATACACCTGGCTCGGCTGGATAAATTTTTGGTTAGTTTGTTCAAAAACTTGAATCATGCAAATTAAGTAAAAGTATTTTTATCAATGTTACTTAAAAAGTGTTTTGGGACTAGATCGAGACACGATCCAATACAACAGTAAACATGCATAATGTTTAGCTTCTAAAAAACTTTACTTGACATTTTCCTAATACATAATTGTTTAGTATTCATATAACTAATTTCTAATTCTAAAGTATATCTCGTACTCATAAAACTTTGAAACTCAATCATCTACAAAAGAACGTGAAAAATAATTCACACAGTTGTTTGCTTTAAAATTTTCAATCGACTTAGTGATTGTGTTAAATCAAAATGTTCAAACTTGATTACATGGAATTGATATTAGCACAGGGACGGGGAAGTAAACTTTAATACGTCAAACCGCACATTCCAATTGGAACAATTACCTAATTTCCTAAAAGTAAAAGTAGATTGACTAAATTTAAAATGTACGAAGGAGCAAAAGAAATTACAACATATTGAAAGCTTTTCCATAATAAATATATACTACATAATTGATTTATACATTTTTAAGGCAGCGACGTCATCAATTCTACAAATCTGTAAAAGAAACAAAAACATCTCGACTCATTTATCTACTTATTTTATGATAAGACATTTCACATACAACTTTTACAAAATAATATCTTTAATAAAATCCCCAAAATTGAATACTATAAAATTCTATGAAACTAAACAAAGAAATAGATGTCAAAATACAACTAATCTCATTAGAAGTTAAAAAAGTTGGTAAACAAGAACAGATATTTTAAAAAATATATTTTATTCAAAATTAGATAATATATTCGAAATATAAGATTTAGATTTTAAGAAAATTAAATATTAAAAATGGAATTAATAGTTTGACATTTAATTTAAAAATGAATAGTCGAGTTGCCAAATTTTAATGTACTCGAACCACAATTTTGTTTTATTGGCATGCTCGTGTAAAGTAAACCAAACTCTAATCTCATGCTCGAAACTATATTTTTTTAGTTTTGGAAGTTAATCTTTAGAATAATTTAATAAATTTTCAAGAAAAATTATTCTCTTACTCAAACCCGAAGTAAGTGTTAGAGTAAGACGTCTTTCATACAATAATATTTTATTGGAATTTTGAAACGGATCTAATAAAAAGTTTGATTAAGTAAACCTTTGTATGAATGACACCTTGTGTTTTTTTTATGTAGCTTTGATGACAATTGCTTAATCTGTTTACGTAAATTAAAAATAAATAGCGTGTACATGCACATGCGATGCACATAATGCCAATACAAATAAGTCAAAATGCTTAAAATGTTACCACATACGTTTTGTTTCTTTTTCGATTAAATTATATATATATATATATATATATATATATATATATTTAAAAATATATATAATATAGAAGTTTCTGAATAACTTGGGATTAAAATGAAATGGACGCGTTATATAAAATGAAAAGGTACATGAGTTACATTCACTTTGTTTTTCCCTCTTTTTATATCCAGCCAACATTTAAACCGTAGGGGTAGGGTTTGTTGGTACGGGGGTAGAACAAGCAACCAGATTTTGTTTTCCAGTAACTTTTGGTTTAACATTTTTACATTCGGATTTTACAGGTCCATCCGGTCCACTAAACGTAATGTCAATGTCAGCGAGTTCTACATTTTCGTATGGAAAAATACCACTGCAAACAAGTTTGACAACTTCTGGAAGCGCAGCCGTACCATGAATGTTCTTGAAGCTGATGTTGCTTAGTTTAACATTCGATTCAGCCTGCAAGATCAAAGTACTTGTCAGATTATTGATCAACTCTTTTCATTATATTGGGTTCTTTACAAGTATGTACATACATCCATTTTGCATTTATTCCATGGGCAGTATTTTTGGTCAATCAGGACGGGACAACTAACATTCTTCATGGTGATATCCTCAAAATTCATATCTGATGCTGTGCCAGGAAATTCACCTGCCCAAGTCTTGATTCTAACACCATTCGAAGTATCAGTCAACGTACACTTCGACACTTTAATTCCTTCAACAGGTTCTTCGTTTGCAAAGTTTCCACAAGTTACTCCCGTGATGTCTAGATTTTTGGCACCATCCCCAATTGAAATACAATCATCACCAGTTTTGATATCCGTGTCTATAATTTTAACCCCATCTGATCTCCCGATGTGAATCCCATCTGTGTTTGGGCTATCTTTAGGTGCGGATACAGTGACATGTTCGAAAGTAATGTTTTTGCATCCCAAAACATTAGCGTGGAACTGTTTGCTATCTCTGAGAGTTATACCTTGTACCATTGCATTGGTCAAAAAATCAAACCTTACATTCTGTTTAATTTCGGAGTTAAAAGAGTCACGATATAAAAAAATATGTATTAGTTATAAGTACTAAGAAAAATATCAAATTCTTGCGAAAGGTAAGAAACCTTACGATGGGGAGGTTACTACAGAAGTCGTGTTTTTCGCAACCTTCTCTCTTATAAGAAGTGGTCCCTTGTCCATCGAAAGCTCCTCCACCGAACAATTTGAAGTTTTCAATATGAAGGAAGCTAACCCATTTAGGCTCCTTGAAAGCTTTAGGATCAGCTGGTGCTTTTACATTGCCCTCAAGTTGAAGCTCAATAGGAGCCTTGCAAGGACCTTCCAGCGTTGCTTGACTTAACAAATATGTCCCTTCAGGAATCAAAATTGTTGTTGGAGTTGTTGAACCACAACCTTATTTCCAAGCATCCAACAATGGCTAAAACAAAATAGATTAATAAAGAAATTATACATGTTTTCACCGTTAGAGTATTAAAGTGAGCTGTAATTTCGCTTACCTTACTCAAATCTGTATTCAAGTCAGCCTTTGTGCCAAACTTAGCTACGACGTCAAGAGCAGCTGCTTGAGCTTGCATGGCTGCAAGGAATAAATTTAATATTATAGACACTGTACAAACAACAATAAAATTTATTGCCATATCTTTAATTTTATTTTCACTTGAAGGTAGAATGGTTTTTCCTTTTGTTTACTTTCAAATATATAGAGATGTTTGGGCAAACTACAACCAACCAAAATTTTCAATCAAACCTTTTTCAAATTTAACCAACGTGTGCAAATCGTATGGCTAGACTTTACTTTCTGTGATTAGCTTGTGTTTTTATATACACCTGGCTCGGCTGGATAAATTTTTGGTTAGTTTGTTCAAAAAAATTGAATCATGGAAATTAAGTAAAAGTATTTTTATCAATGTTACTTAAAAAGTGTTTTGGGACTAGATCGAGACACGATCCAATACAACAGTAAACATGCATAATGTTTAGCTTCTAAAAAACTTTACTTGACATTTTCCTAATACATAATTGTTTAGTATTCATATAACTAATTTCTAATTCTAAAGTATATCTCGTACTCATAAAAACTTTGAAACTCAATCATCTACAAAAGAACGTGAAAAATAATTCACACAGTTGTTTGCTTTAAAATTTTCAATCGACTTAGTGATTGTGTTAAATCAAAATGTTCAAACTTGATTACATGGAATTGATATTAGCACAGGGACGGGGAAGTAAACTTTAATACGTCAAACCGCACATTCCAATTGGAACAATTACCTAATTTCCTAAAAGTAAAAGTAGATTGACTAAATTTAAAATGTACGAAGGAGCAAAAGAAATTACAACATATTGAAAGCTTTTCCATAATAAATATATACTACATAATTGATTTATACATTTTTAAGGCAGCGACGTCATCAATTCTACAAATCTGTAAAAGAAACAAAAATATCTCGACTCATTTATATACTTATTTTATGTTAAGACATTTCACATACAACTTTTACAAAATAATATTTTAATAAAATGCCCCAAAAATTGAATACTATAAAATTCTATGAAACTAAAAAGAAATAGATGTCAAAATACAACTAATCTCATTAGAAGTTAAAAAAGTTGGTAAACAAGAACAGATATTTTAAAAATATATTTATTCAAAATTAGATAATATATTCGAATATAAGATTTAGATTTTAAGAAAATTAAATATTAAAAATGGAATTAATAGTTTGACATTTAATTTAAAAATGAATAGTCGAGTTGACAAATTTTAATGTACTCGAACCACAATTTTGTTTTATTGGCATGCTCGTGTAAAGTAAACCAAACTCTAATCTCAGTGCTCGAAACTATATTTTTTAGTTTTTGGAAGTTAATCTTTAGAATAATTTAATAAATTTTCAAGAAAAATTATTCTCTTACTCACACCCGAAGTAAGCCTTAGAGTAAGACGTCTTTCATACAATAATATTTTATTGGAATTTTGAAACGGATCTAATAAAAAGTTTGATTAAGTAAACCTTTGTATGAATGGCACCTTGTGTTTTTTTTATGTAGCTTTGATGATAATTGCTTAATCTGTTTACGTAAATTAAAAATAAATAGCGTGTACATGCACATGCGATGCACATAATGCCAATACAAATAAGTCAAAATGCTTAAAATGTTACCACATACGTTTGTTTCTTTTTCGATTAAATATATATATATATATATATATATATATATATATATATATATATATTTAAAAATGAATATAATATAGAAGTTTCTGAATAACTTGGGATTAAAATGAAATGGACGCGTTATATAAAATGAAAAGGTACATGAGTTACATTCACTTTGTTATTCCCTCTTTTTATTGCCAGCCAACATTTAAATCGTAGGGGTAGGGTTTGTTGGTAC